AGAAGATAGAGATGGAAGAGGAGAAAAGGAGGCAGGGAGGGAGGCAGAAACAGCTCCAGTCTAGCATCTGGATTTTATTAGCAGCCGTTGGGAAAATGTGAAAAGGAAGTTTTTTCTCTGTGAGCACGTCGGCAGCAGTGATATGCTGCACATAACCACTTCACTGGCGACAAGAGGAGCCAGGCTCTCCCAAAGGAGAACAGATGGTCGCTAGAACTTCAATACAATTACATCAACAGCTCTCGCAGATATAAGCTCGGTATGACAGAATCCCTGCAGCTCGGTGAGACAGAAATACAACTCCTCCAACCTCAGCACCTCTGGCCCCAGATTAATTGCATTTGATTCATCATTCTCTCCCTGCTTGTCCTCGAGGTAGCCCTGCTATTCTTGCCAGTTTAACCAATAAAAGAAGATCTGGGTTCTTTTGAATTGGAAAACCCAATGACCTCTCAGGGATTTGATTGCTGTAATCTGATCAAAGACAGGATGGGTTTTTTTTTTGAGTGCTTAGAAGGAAGAACAGATGACCCCCAACCCCGAAACCCCAGTCCTCCAATTCCCCTGCTTTGTTTTTTTGCTCAACGTGCTTGTTCAGCCGGCTCTGCATGTGTCATAAAGATACTGGTAACGAGAAAAAAATGTCTGTGCTTGGATCTTTAGGAAAAGCACAAGCATTTTGTTGACTTGTAGGGTCTATCATTGGTAAGAATCTGGATTTCCACCCTAGCGAAGTCCTGTTTTAGGGTTAGGTTTAAACGTTAGAGTGAAATAGATGAAATGTAATAACTTACTTAGACAAACCTCTAAAAGCATGTTGATGCACTGGTCTTTCTCTCACCCTGTAATTACTGAGCACTTTAAAGACTTTAAACTCCAATCAGCACAAGATAAACCATAGGCTGCTGTAAAATCAGCTTTCTTTACTGACATAGGAAACTTTACAAACACATTCCCATATTACCTGTTATGGAATCTAAGTTTCCTTGGATTAAACACTTCACAACAAGGAGCTCCTTGGCAGACCTAGAAAGCATGCTTTTTTTGTTGCTCTTTTTAGCTGTCAGATGGTGTTTTGGTTCTGTGCCAACTGTATTGTTTTTTTGTTTTTTCCCCTAAAAATGTCATTTTACGCTGGTAATATAAGATGGGCGGTACTGCATCCATAAGTCTCATGTCCAAAGCATGGGTTTACAATTCCAAAATGTTTTGATATAAAGGCCTTAAGGGGGGTGGCGGGGGGGCTTATTCTCTGTTTGTGTGGACTCCACAGCGGCCTGATAGGGAACAGATGTGGAAAGGCAGGCGGCTGGGCAGCCAGCCAGAGCAGCTGGGAGAAATTAAAAACAACAGCATTCCTGGAGACTGGGGGAATTACAGTGGGAGGGCAGGAGCAAGAGATGGAGAGAGAGACAGAGAGAGAGAGACAGAGAGTTTTAGGCGTATGTGGTCACCAACTGAGTCTCTATGGAGTACAAGAGATTGAATAGATGAGGGGGTTTTAAGGGAACTGTTCTGCAGTGGTTAGCCAGGGCTAATAAGCTGCAGCTGTATATCCAGTGGAGATGCATATGTGCATACACACATGTATGCAATGCACACATATACAAGCAGATGTAGGACTAGATTATACCCAGTATAAGAATGACCATTTAATGTGAAACGGTTTGAACACATATTTACTTTTAGCGGGCTCCAACAAGAGCCTGTCTTTAAATCGTTTACAAAACAGCAGAAGGACTTGAGAAAGTTCAAATAATCCAACAAACTGTGCGTGCACAGTTGTTCAGCGTGCTCTCTGTGGTTTAGTGCCTCTCGCAGGGAATTGCTTTTCATCTTGTTACATCATGGCACAAGGGGAGAGCCGAAGACAGAGAGCATTTTTAGAGTGCAGACTGCTTCTTTGGTGAGCAATCTTTTAGCCCCGATTACGTCAAACTGCACAGACATACAGCTGCTCTCGGAGTCTGAGAAACAGACAAACAAGCACAGGCAGAAGCAGCAAGGTAGGTAATAATTGTACTGAGCAGGTTTATTTTCAGCCTAATATTCAGGAGTATTTAGGAGAGATGGCAGTAGAATTGAGTAGAACTATTTTGCAGAGTCTGATTTTGAAGCGGCTGCTTTTAGACATACGTGTTAGAAAACCTAGACCTAAACCAGGTAGATATCTCCAGGTGAATCTCATCTCCTCTTTTTGGTGTAAATGTTTTATCCTTCAGCACAAAGCACAATGGAACCACAGATGGTCACAGATGGGGTTTCAGACTGAGCAGACCTCCTAATGTATTAAAAGTAAAATCCAGAGCATGATGTGCATGTGAGTGTCCCGTCTCTGGAGCTGGTCAGATTAAACAGCTGTCTATAATCCTACAGCCTACGGTGGGAGCAGACAGGACAAGCCCCTTATCCTAGTTCTCCTTTCCTTTTCTTTCATTTCCTTTCCTCATCACCATCAAGTTTGGCTTTGGATCACTGAAGTACAGCAGGTGGATTCAAATACAAATATATGGCAATATGTAAATCAGTAAACAAACCAAAATATATATATATATCAATGGTGTACATCCAGCTCCTTGGAGGCCAGCTTAAAAAATATTTGCATCCACTTATAGCTGTTGCTCGTTCTTCTGCCTCGGTTTTGCATGTTTATGTTCCGAGCGTCTGGCGTGGACCGAACAGCCGAGCACCAATCGTGATCTTAAGGATCACTGTGTCAATGGCCCTCGTACCACATACTCCAGTGTGACGCTCTTTAAATACAGACACCAGCTGTTGAATGCTGCTTCGCCAGCTCTCAGAAATAGGCTTACTGCAAGCACTGAGGCCAACTGACAAGGGGGGGGCATTGAAGACATTAAATAAAAACAAATTATGCGATAGTGATTTAATGATAGCTGATGACGAGAGTACATTGAAAGCACAGCATAGGCAGGGTTTAAAACTAGGTATAAAGGTCAGGGCTATAGATCGTTTACCTTAACAGCATTGATGCCAGGATTAAGGTTCTTTTTTTATTTAGAGAGGTACAAGAGATTATCTCTTAGGCCACCAAGAGGAAAATGATGACAGATGTTTTGTTTTTTAATATGGTGTTATGATGAATGAGGATTATAACATTTTGAGAAGGTTAAAGGATAGATTCTTTGAAAACATTTTTTCTCTTGTGATGGACAGAAAAACGAGGGGGGGAAAAGCAGTTTTCATGACTTTATGTTTCCATAAAAGGAAAAAAAGAAAAACAAAATGGAAAACATTTTATTTTATTGTTTACAAGAAATGGTAATATATGAACTGCAGGGATTATTCAACAAATTCAGCATAAAAATTAAACAAAAACAGAATGAGTGAATGTGTCTAAACTCTTTGGTTCATTTTTTTTCTGGTTTGACTGATACGTGTCACTGACATGTTTTCATTAAATTATCATTTAATATTTGACTTTCTATGATTAATAAATCGGAAAACATGAGCAACCATTAGAAGTAATAAAATGTCTAAGCTTCCAAAGACACAAAAGATTTTATCCTTTAGATTCTAGATGTGACCAATACACATTTTTTTTCACCAGGTGGTTTAGTAAGAAATTTTTGCCCTTTAGTTTCATAATAGATACAAGGACAAACCTTACTTCTGTCACATGCATAGGCAATCAGTACCATATTTTGAGTTTTTATTATTTATTGACATCAAAGACAGTTGGGTGATTCACACAAAGTATGTAGGTCCAAAATGAGAAATAATGTAAATGAGAGCAAAAAGAACATTTTTTGCTTTCGCTCAAAGTGTCTCAGCAGAAGAATCATCACATGGACCATTAAGTCTACTCTGTGCTCACATCTGTTTTTATAAGTTAGAATAATGGCTTTCTAGCTGAAGTTTTTATATTTCTTCATATTCATTTAGGAAAATTACGATGCAATTATTGTAAAAAAAAAAAAAAAAAAAAAAACAACCCTCCCATGTGTTCTGATATATCTAGTGGATACTCGATAGATTATCCTAGATCGATTGATTTTGCTCTTATTATTCTTTCACTCTATGGAACGCGGTTATTGGCTGTTTCCTGTCCTTAAAAGTAATCTCCTCAAAGCGCCGAAAAAGTCATCACACTCTGTACTCAGGTTTGCATTGCATGAGGATCTGGTTCCAGCAGCTGCACCGACAGGCGGACACAAACATCGAGTCAAGGCTCCATAGATAGATGCAGATAGATTTTAAGTTTGTGTATACGGTTTCATATTTTTGGCCAGAATTTTAATTGAACTACGGATCACATCCTTAAACTTGCTGATGTACAGTACATCCACATTGTGTTGAGTTTATTGCACCATCCTCTGTTGTTAAGCTACAAAGCTTGGCCTTGCCTTGTTTGGTCCTGGCAGCCTGTCTGGCAGGGGACAGAGAAGACTCTGGTAGCAGGACGGAGCTCCGCTGAAAGCCAGTCTCAGTGATGGACAGCAGCAGATCCAGCTGCACTTGTCACTGGCTGTCAAGCCGGCTGTCTAGGCAGGGGAACGAGAAGGGACAGGCGGAGAAGTGTGTGATATGTGAACATGTGTGTGTGTGTGTGTGTGTATGTCTGGGGGTTGGAGGTTAGAGTAGGAGGGGGTAGGGTTGGTGTGTGCACTGATTGGGATGTCATTGCTACATGGGTTGTCTATGTGTGAAGGAGAGACCATGAGGGAAGAGGGGGGAAGTGAGGAGCGGTGATCTCAGTTAGCAGCAGCTGAGAGGGAGAGCAGGTGTTATTGTAGGTCTCTTGAATCTCCAAGAACAAAGACAATAGTTTGGAGTTTGGATCCATTCTCACTTTTCGTATTGATCCTTCTTAGCTTAATATATGAGGCTTTTTGGTTTAAGGAAGCAGGGTGGAAATGTTAGTGCTTGCCTCTTTAATCCAAATTCTCCTCTTGGCGTTTTTTGGGGATTTTTAAAACAGGAGCTTCATTTGGAACCTGTTTAGATTTTCTTTTTTTCTTTTTTTTTCAAAATGGCAGGTAGCAGGGTGCTGAAGAGTGGAACAATGCCAGATTCACCTGCGGATGTGAAAACCCAGCCCAGGTCCACCCCACCTACCATGCCTCCTCCACCCCCGGCTGTGAGCCAAGCAACAAGTCGAAACGCCTCTTTCACGCCAACCACCAGTAAATCAAGTAAGACTCCTTTTGTGAAGCTATACAGGTTCTTAAAATGTTTTGGCTGGACCTTGTTTAACCCACAGTTCTTTTACATGCAGTGAGATGTATGTCTTCCTGTAGGCCTTTAAAGTTGACAGACATGAGGAAAAAATCGAAAAGGTTTCATATCAGTGATCAAGTGGTCTATAGAAAGCAAAATATGACATCAGAAATTTGAAAAAAGGATGAAAAATTTGAACAAAATATTAAGCCAAATGCCAATTCTGATGTTCCAAAGAATAAATAAAACATATAACATAGAATAATTACACAATACATTTTTTTGATGAAATCAACATTTCAAAATACATTTTAAGTTATAAAATGTACAAAATCAACAGTGACAGTATTTTGAATAGGTTTAATTGCAGTATACTGTTTACTGAACTTTCACTCAACCTCCAAATGACACAGCAGTCGCAGGAGATAACAAATGATTAGTAATGTCCTGATACAACTTTTTCATTTTCGATACGATACTGATATTGCAGCTTTGAGAACAGGCCGATAACACTAGTGACCCGATACGTTATTAGCACGAGTTATGCAAGCTTTTATTACTTAATTCATCATGTAGAATGTTAGAAAAGGCTGTATGAAGTAATATTAATAAAACAGGGAACAAAAGTTACCAACAAAATGTATGAAAACAATTGAGCCATGTTATATTAACCGATGAGTTAAAGAAACTTTTAGAGGTAGTGTTTCTATCAGCACTAAAATACTGGTTGTTTTAGATGCCGGCTGATAAAATACGCTATTCGTTTTTGGTTAATATCGGACCGATATGTGATATTGGATCCGGACATCCCCTAAAATAATATTTAACCAATAACTAGACTTTCACTTCATTTTCTTAAAGACTTTTCATCATAGGTTTCTAAACGTCTTTAGAAAAACTGAACGAAAGTCCAGCTGCCTTCCAATTAAAGTCTGTTTTGTGGTTGCATGACTAAGAATTCACACAGATATTTCACCAATAACCCAAATTGTCTTTTCAACTATTTTGTATTTTTGCTTTTTTTTTTACTGTTTTTCGGGAAATTAAATTGAGCTGACATTCTTCACAACATATTAAATGGACATTGAGTCACTTACCTATATAGGGAGTTATGTAATTACTTATATAGGGAAATGTAGTGGATGAAATGAAATGAAGAAGGGTATTTTTTGAATTTCTGCTATAAGTGGTTTAGTTTTTGTTTTCTTAGCATTAAACATTTCTTTCAGGTTTTTGAGAGTTTCTTATGCCTCCCTGCTTCTCTGTTTCATGGATTAGTTGAGGTGGCTTGTTTGTATCATGTATTTTCTTATGCTGACCTTTATCCCATTTTGCACAGTGTTTTACAACACTGTCCTTAGGTTGCTTTTGTTTTAGCCTAATCTTTGCCCATTTATTATTATTATTTCCTGAATTATTTTACCTACCAGAATTATAACCATTCATTAAGCCTAAACATGATAAGACTGCTGCGTGTCAGATGGTATCTATAATAGACTCTTTTGCTTTTCATTGTGTTTGATTTGATGGTTCTGGTTTACATAGAGTGAAAGGAATCCTGGCTATTTCTCTGGTGAGCAAGTGTCTTGGTCACTTGTGTATCAGGTGTGTCTCTTGTTGCATTTGTGTATCTTTTGGTGTGAACAGTAATATTGCTGGGAGGAAAAGAGTGTGTGTGTGTATGTGTGTGTGCATTGTTTGTCAGGCAGCGAGTTGGTGCAGGGGATATCAGGCGTTCTTTCTTCCCTATATAGTAACGCCAGGCCTTGTTGTTTCACCTGTCGTGGGTGGCGGTCAACAGCGTAGCTCTCTCCTTGCGGCTCTTCCTCATCTAAAACCAGAACACAAGTGCTGGAATCACATGGGTTAGTCCATATGCTTTCAGGCCTTCGACCCATGGATTAGAGCAACAAGCATGCCTGAGAAGAACCACAAGAACAGGGAACAGCTGAAGGTTAAAGAATCTTTGCCTCTTCCAGAACTAGGACCAGGTGAGGCAAAGAGATGCTGCAGGAGACATGAAATGATGCTAGGCATGCTGCTGCTGTGACATGACTTATGGTTTAATCATAGTTACATGACATGTTATAGAAGAACCAACAGCATGTGACATACAGTCATCATATAATCCCATATGCATATAAATGCAGATAAAAATTGTGACGGATTGAAGAGCAGCGTAAGGGGAAGAGGTCAAGCTGGAGTGTGTGTTTGCTCTTGGGGTATTTACGGGTTTGTATGGGCAGGCACTAAGGAGTGAATGTGTGTGATCATATATGTGTACGAATACTGTGACTATTCCAAACCCAGGGCTGCAAATCTACTCTCAGCTGGTGGACATGTGCAGAACCTGATTTAGTAACACACCTGCTACTGGTATAAAAGTAACACAGCCCACTGCGCTATTTTTGGCATCTCTTTAACAAGTTCCTCTTATAGCTGCGTCCTACTGAGTTAGTGAGTGAGTGAGTGCTTGAGTGAGGAGCAGGGTGGAATACAGGCCAACAGAGGGGCCGATGGAAAGGCTGCAGGGGGTCAAATGGTAGCACTTGTGAGACAGCTGAAGTTCCTGCAAGTACACAAGCAGCATAGTAGCACAGTAGAAAATTGCATCCCTGCTGTTGTGTTAAGCATCAAACATCATGCATCTGCCTATAAGACTAATTTAATTGCTACAGCTGTCATCAGATCTATCAGACTCCCCATACAGGAAACTAATGCTCCCCGTCTGTGTTCTGCTGCAGTGCTGAATGGGAGCAGCCACTCTCCTACCTCGCTAAACGGTGCTCCTTCGACTCCAAATGGCTTCAGTAATGGGCCAGCCATGTCCTCGACGGCCTCCTTGTCCAACCAACAGCTTCCGCCGGCTTGTGGTGCTCGGCAGCTCTGCAAACTAAAGCGCTTCTTGACCACGCTGCAGCAGTTCGGCAACGACATATCCCCTGAGATTGGGGAGCGAGTGCGCAGCCTTGTGTTAGGACTGGTGGTAGGTTATGGGACCATCTGTTCATTGCAGCCTAATGCTCCTTTATTGCTTTGAGTATCATGGTGACTGTCAGTAAACATGTTGTGGACATTTTTTTTTTAAAGAAGGTTCAGTTTTATACCACTTCTGTTTTGTCTTTGTCACTTCCTGTTGCTTTAAACAGAACTCCACTCTCACCATTGAAGAGTTCCACTCCAAACTTCACGAGGCTACTAACTTCCCGCTGAGGCCTTTTGTCATTCCTTTCCTAAAGGTAAAAATGAATCAAATCTTTTTCTTTTTTTTATCAAGTGTCTGAAGCGCTAGCTGTGGTTTAATGAAGCTGGGTGGGTCTTCTGTAATTGTATCTGAATCAGATTTAAAAATCTGAAAGAGGAACTAACAGCAAACAGCAGCAGCAAAAGGGGAGCATGTGTTTTCACCCGGTTTTAATGAGAGCATCAACAGTTTTGCTTGAAATTTTTAACCAAAGCTTTGAACAGTTCTTTGCTTTGTCTCTATTTTCATGTCTAAGCAATAACTGTCATCAAGCAACGGCTCAGCAATTTTTTTTAGCATGAAGTGATTTCAGATACAGGTGGTTTAAACTACCATGGATGCAAAATCAGTGGAAATGTAAGGTGATAAAACAGCAAAACCCAAACCATTTTTTTTTTACTTTTTTTTTCTTATTAATTTAATGATAATCCATCTGACCTTGGTCACAGAACATTATTTAATTAAAACGTTTATTGAAAACACATTTAATTAATTTCTTACTCTTCTTTATTTAATGAAAGTTATCCTTTAGTAGATTAGATCTACAGACCTTGGTAGATCATGTCTTTAAATCAAGAAAAAATCCTCGTAGATCAGCATTTTTTGAAATACAAAGACGTGCCCATTTTGCACTATAGAACTCATTAAAACATTCAAATAATCTTAGTCCATTTTTTTCCCTATTCTGATGCTCAGTTTGAACCAAGTCTGATGCATTGACTTGTTGACTCACTGTCACATGAGAACTGCATGTCAACCTGTGTATCTAAAAAAAAATAGGCAATTTACTGTATCGGCATCTCTCTGTTTATTTTTTCTCTGCCATTAAAATTTTAGTCTTCAGCATTCATGTCCAGCAAACATTTGAATGTTGCTGTCCAGACAGAGGAGCTGCAAAATTCCCACGGGTTTCTCTGCCAGCTCTAAAGCCATTTTATACACCCTAGTTAAACTATCTGTCTCATATTCAGTTGTCTTTCACTTCTGTTCATATGAAACCTGTTGAACTTTAGCGTGTGGGGTCCCATTCAGCTCTTCCCAAAAAGTAAAGCAATGACTTAATTAAAACTTGTATGTAAGCAGTGAACCCATATAAGGAAGGCACCGCTTGTAAACATCACTGGAAGGATGTAAATACATCTTTAAAAAAAGTAGGTGTGAAAGAGTGTGTGAAAGCGTCGGACCTCCTGCCGTGCGATGATCCCTCACATCTGGGACGTTGCAGCCATGGCTGTGTTATATCAAGCTGACAGGTCTGAGAGGACTGTTTGACAGCACTGTTACAGACACGTTCACACGTAACCTGCCCTCCCCCACATGCAGGGACAACACACACAACAGCACACCCCAAAGAGAGCGAGGCACACGTGGAGGAATGTGTCAAGGGACCTGTCTTATCTCATTCTGTCTCTTCATCTATCACTCTCTCTCTCCTTTTTTCCCTGAATTTAACCTGGCATTATTTCCCCCTTCACCCAAAGTTCCACCAAAGGTCTTATTTTTTCCTCTGGTCCACTTAACTCCTTTAAATGTAACTTGATTAAATCTACATCCTTCCTGCAGTAACTTACATAAATCCTAAGCAAAGATGTTTCTCTTTCCTCTTTGAACCAATGAAGGCAAACCTGCCTCTGCTGCAGAGAGAGTTGCTGCACTGTGCCAGGCTGGCCAAACAGACTCCAGCTCAGTATCTGGCTCAGCACGAGCAGCTACTCCTGGACGCCAACGCCAGCTCTCCCCTTGACTCCTCTGAGATCATGCTGGAGATGAATGAGCACGGCAAGAGAAGGACTCCTGATAGGTGAGACATTAGAGGTTTTAATGTGCTGTCTTGAATTAAGTTGGTGTTTTTTGGTCTGCATTTCAAAATGAGAGATAAATACTCCCAATGCCAGCTTGGTTTTGCCAACCGTCTGGGGAGGAGGAAGATGAATACAGATTATTAAAAGAGGAAAAACAGAGAAAAAGCTTAAAAAAAAACAGGAAGTAAATATAAAGTTGTGTTAAACTTGAGAAAATAAAAGACTGAAACAGTACTGTTTTTAGTCCTCTGCCTCTCCCTGCTGGCCCTATCTTTTATCCCCCCAGCAGCTGTCCATATGTCAAAGATGTGTCCAGGTGGTGACGTGCTGTGTGAGGGTGTTGGGAAGTCAGTGTCTGGCAGTTTTGGATCAATCACAACCAGAGGTTGAAAGCTGAATGTGAAATCCTCCTGTAATCTGCACACCTCCGCCTCCCAACCTCTGGCTTATGTACAGCATGCAGAACTGAATGAGAGTAGGAGGAGGAAGGGAACAGAGCCAACTTTTTTCCAGCTGTTCCACTCATTCGTCGGCGACCAAAGCCAAATACATGCATGAGCTCAGCGCGCACACATGCATGAAACTTCATCTGCATGCAGGCAGCCACATTTTTTTTTATCACGTTTTGTTCCCGTTATGTTAAAGGGTGATTTTTCATCTGAATGCCAAGCTGTAGCCATCCTGCTAAACAGATTAATAGCAACACTCCCATTTAGACTGACCAGATGGCTCAAAGGCATACACTCGCTTTAAGCATACAGACATATACGAGTGTGACCAAACATCTGTTAAATACGCAGCCCTCAACCCCCATTGCCCCTTAAGCCTGACTGCAGGGCGAGGGGGAGGGATATTTGCGATCTAAGAGTAGGCAAAGGGGATATTTAGATTAAGAGCCTGGGATGTTGGGTGTACAGTTGGACTTGGCTCTGTTAGATACATATGGTGTACAGCTGTGCAAAAAGCTTTAGAGAAGCAGTGCTGTACTGTAACTGAACAACAAGCAGCTTTGTCTGTTTGTGTGTGTGTGTGTGCTGGTGGACACCATATGGGAGTTCTCTGACTTAAAAGAAAACATGTTTGTGTTCCTCGTTTTAGCTTCTCCAACAGGAAAGTTTGTTTACTTAAACTGTTTCACACATATAACTGTTTTTGTTTCTCATATTTAAAGGGAATTCATTATGGTGTGGTATTGTTATACAATCTTTGTTGAATCAGGGTGCAACATTTAGCTTTTGTCTGCATCTACCCATTTAGGACCAAAGACAGCTCCGACAGAGATGGCTTGCACCCAGAGCACCTGGCGAAGAGGCCCTGCACCATCAGCCCCAGCCAACGTTTCAGCCCTAGCACTGGACTCCCAGCTCACCCCCCTCCCAATGGCCTTCCAACTCACCCGCCCAATGGTCTGCCCCATCCGCCCAACCCTCAAGTGGGACCCCAGCACTACCGGCTAGAAGACATGGCCCTGGCGCACCAGTACAGGGACGCCTTCAGACACAGTGAACACCGGGACTCTAGAGACAGGCACCGGCAGACAGGTAGAAGATTTTAATTGCTTTAAGGATTTGCTGGTTTCCAATTAGGGACTGAGAAGTTAAGGAATAAGAGAAAGACCAGTTGTTTGGCATGTGTGTGATCCATTTGGCAATGCATCTATATAAAGACTGCAACCATGCCTATTTGACCAACTGTGGCAACCATCTGCTTTTCTATAGGGGACAGATCTGAATTCTTTTTTAGCATCGTTTCATTTTTTTTAAACACGTGGATGAAGTAAAACCGTGAGGGGAAAAAAGAAATTTGGTTTTAGACTGTTTTTCTTGTAACATCCCATCTAGAATCAATAAAAGAAATATTTTCTGCAGTGTTTTGCCCAATGACTCTGATCTATTAACCAGTTTGGCATTAAAACACCTCAGGATTACAACACAGTTTGCACCAGCACGCATGTATGATGAAGAACGCACTGTTTTATCGTTCATTGAATCTCAACAGCTAACAGGATCTGAAACATATAGTGATGTACTTTTCAATCACTTATTTATTTTAGTAATTCAATTCAAGAAGTGACATTTATGTCATATATACTAAGTACTGTACACACAAAGTGATATATGTTATTAGTTTTATGTTCATTTTATTATTAGAGAGAATTATTCTCAAATCAAAGAGATCCTCCTGCTGAAATGTTTAATAATTTACAATAAATCTTAAGCTGTTTCTTGAGTTATAGTATCAGTGTGGTGTGTTAGTGTAAAAATTTGGCTTTGCTTTTAGATCACCTCTCTCCTCTTGTTCTTGACCATATCATATATATTCTTTGTAGGCTTTCGGTCAGTTCAGCTTATCCTTTTTTTATTCTAACGATTAATCTTCTAAATGAACAGAGTGAAGAAATAAGACATAACAAACATCAATTGAAGTGTAATGGATCAACAGATTCAGAATTGCATTATTTCAATGAAATACAGTCTCCATGTTTTAAAATCTGTTATCGCAGCTGTAGTTAAGAGTAGGGAATAGCAACTATTGAACAGCAACAGCAGATGATAGAGATGTTGCATTTGTTCCTTTTTGCAGCTGTACATGGAGCTCGCCAGGAGGAGGTGATTGATCACCGTCTTACAGACCGAGAATGGGCAGAAGAATGGAAACATCTTGATAATGTATGTATGAGTGTGCTTACTCCCAACCATCCTCTGCATTTTTATTGACACTAAACCTGCAGGGAAAGCAGAGGAGTCAGCTTAAGATGTAAGTTAGCTGTAAAACCAAGGATGATAAGCAGATGACGTCAACAGAAGAGAGAAGAGAAGGGTCAGAAGAGAGGGCTGCCCTCATCCCACCTGAGTTAGAAGTTGACGGAGGTAGTAGTCAGTGCAATGAATTAACAACTGACGGACACCTCTCCAGATTTCCCACCACCACACTCCAAAAAAAGAAAGCTGTGAACATTAGAAACCCACACACATACTCTGTTAGTTAGAAACAGAGCCCCAGGTGGAGCTGAGGACCCAGCGGAGAGCCGCTCCAGCTGGGTAGAGCAGCTGAGACAAGAGCTGCAGCCGGGGAGGGAACCGGCCAGGCCTGGACCCCTGCCAAATTAGAAACACTTTACTGAAATAAATATAGCCAATTCAGAGGGGAGGGAGGTGTTCGTGAGGCAGAGGAAAAAAAGGATTAGACTAGAGGGGGTGGGGGTTAATAAGATGGACTGAATGTCAACTATGCTAAACCTATTTAGCAGACCTTGCTGAGTCTGGAAAAAAAGGGGCACTCTACAAAAAAGTGACACAGTTTTCAGCAGAGGGGGGAAAAAACCCACAGGAAATCTGTTGAGTTGGCGGGCAACAGAGCATAGTGGGGGAAGGAATCGGCTCGTGCTTCTCATCCACAGTCCAATTGTTATAATTTTATTGTGGTGATGCTTCCAGACACGGAAATTCACCGAAAGGGACACTATCATTCAATAGAGTAGATAGAGCAAACCACACAAGCTATCCGCTTGATAGAGGGCATGTTTTTTAGAGTTGGATTAAGATGTGCTCTGCTTAACCAAGTTTAAATGTTGTTGTGGTGCTTTTTTACTTTGAAAACTTCTTAAACTCAAGTTTTCTTTGTATTTCAATCTACGTGATTATTGATTTGGTCTTAAGCTTGGTGTCACTTTACTCAAAGGGTCTATGTTCTCTTGAATTAGTGGAGACCCAGTCATTTGTTCAGATTATTTGATTTTTTTTTCTTGCGTTTTTACTGTAAGATTTGGGCAAGCACATGCTTCTAAAAGAATGGGGATTACATTTTCCAACTGACGTTTCAATTTTTTGCCTTTTCAGCTTCTCAATTGCATCATGGACATGGTAGAGAAGACACGGCGCTCCCTGACCGTGCTGCGCCGTTGCCAAGAGGCCGACCGCGAGGAAATGAATCACTGGATCCGCCGCTACAGCGACGTAGAGGAGATGAAAAAAGGTGGGAGCAACGGACAGCACTGCCTTCCTCCTCCTACTACTCTTCCTCCTCCTACTCCTCACCACAACTCCTCCTCCAACACAGCTAGCAGCAGCGAGTCACTGCCCATAGGAACTTCCTCGGCTGCTGAAAGGCAGACAGGCAGACATACAGGTAGACAAACACACTCAGGGTATGTTTGGCAAAGCAAAACACTCATAGCAAGGTAGGGCTCATTGGAGACACTGAAAACCCCTAATATGCCAATTCAGACTCAAAAACTCAGTTAGAGGATCATATTTTCCAGCAGATTTGCAAATTAGAGCTCCCACTGTGAGGCAATACAAATCCACCTGCAGCATGCCGGATTTTTAACTGATTGCACTCTCGTGTTAACAGCATCCTCATTCAGGTTTAAAGCTGGAATTGATTTTTAATCCCTGTATATGCATCCTGTACTTGACATGATCAAAAAAGAAAAACCTGAATGCTTGTTTCCAAATATTGAGGAGGGATACAAGTATATTTCCAAATGTTTCTGCACCTGATTTGTTTTTCTTCCATACACATCAGCAAAATAGAATTGGATGAATGCGTTTTCATGCAATTTCAGAGTGTTGTTTGTTTTGCTGATTGGATGCATGCGTTTGTGTTTCAGAGATCCACAGAGACTTCTTGCACCGGCCTTCCTCAGGATACTTGCCTGAAGAAATTTGGAGAAAAGCAGGTAAGATTGGACCACCCTCAGTCCTACTATCTTTGTGACTGACCCCCAACCCAAGGGCTAACAAAACACGTAGCATCCCTCTTCACTGCTTCTGACACAGAGCAGAGGCCTTATGGCCGTAGCTCCATGAGACTGTCGGCTAGGAGGCTCTCTGTGTGGTTTAGACTAAACGCTCTCCATTTGTCACCAATATGAAAGGCCACTGCAGTTAAAGCTGCAGTGAAAATGCAGACACCAGGACCTTGTTTAGTCGCAGCAGTGCCGCACGGGATGGAGCTCACCTGATTTCCTTCACTTTTAGATATGATCTCAAATACCTCTTCTGTCAGAAAAAAAAAAAAAAACTAGACTTTTTGCTCTGCTTGGCTCCTTGCTTACCATGTGATACACAGAGCCACTCCCAGGAGTTATCCGGCTCAGTCTGGGCTCCCAGTACTATTATATTGCACTCATACTCCAATACCCTGCGGACGAAAAGATGCTGCTGCTGTCGACAAAAATACTGTGCTGCATTTTCACCAGCAGGAAAAGCTCTTTTAATTGCAGTTGTTTTTCATACAGGTACTACAAGCATGCCGCTTTCCCCAGCTCTAAAGCACCTACAAAGCAAGCAGGGTGAGTAGCATATCTTACTCACAGCATCTCACCCCTTGGTCTTTGTGTGCACATGTGTCACCTTCAGCTCTGCAGTCAGGTAGTTTTTTTGTTGTTGTTGCTTTAATTAAAAAACCAGACACATATTCTTTGGTCTGGCTGGGGTTGAGATCTAAGATCTGAAGTGCGTAAAAGCAGCCAGTAATAACACGTCTTAGGGACTTGCCAAATCTCTGCGGAATTAAAACGTTAATATTGCTGCCCCCGTGTTTTCCATTAAGTGCTAATTGCCCCAGCATCTGCTATGCAGTCTTCTTGATAAGAATTAATTAAATTTGCAAACTAATCTTAGTGGTGCATGCATTAAGGCAGATAATTGAGAGGGTTGGAATAATGCATATAGTGTTTGCAAGAGGGAGAAAAGAGGGAAAGGGGTATCAAAAGAGGAAATGAAGCGTAAAGGTAGAGACGGGATGACAGAGTGAGCGAAAGCTCTGGCTAGGGTAATTTAGTGTTAACAGGATTTGGAGAATCAAGGTTTTTTATTTTAATTAAGCTCATTGAAGAAAATATTTGCCCCCTACCTTTTATAGGGCCTGGCTTGTCAGTTAATAAATAATGTTATCTTTTATTTGTCCTCGTTTGATATTGAAATTGGTTTGCTGTTCTGAGATATTTAGGTGTGAGAAAGTAAAAGAAGGCTTCTAAGGGGTGAATACTTTCATCATTTCTGAGCACAAGAGTCAAGCATGGATAACTATCCTCTACTGGCTTATTTCCTCTGCACAGTAGTTTGAAACAACTGAGTGGATAGGTGAGGGAAAGTGACAGATATTTATGAGCTCCCTCTCAGACAGAGGAAATGGGGATCGGCCGGGAGAAGAGCATCAGCCTCACCTCCTCCTTGGTTGGTCTAACCCACCTGGCAGGCTTTCTGTATGACTGTTATTTGAGTCTCTGTGTGTGTGTGCCCCTCTGTCTCCCTCGCACATCTGGGGGAGGAATAAGATTTAACATTTAATTTTTACAAATACATTGCTTTATTTGAAGGTGTGAATAAAAATAGGAATGTGGCAATCACAATAAGCACTTAACTAGTGAGGAGCAGAAATTTGGCAACCTTGTTCATGGGTAAACACACCTATGTGTACAGTTTTGTGTGGTTATATATATATATATTTTTTTTTTTTTTGCACTTCCTATCTGAACTGAACGAAAGCAGAAAGTGTCCAACTTTTTATTGTATTGTAAGCAGCTAAAAGGTGCAACACATTCCATTCTGGTTCAGGTCTGGTGCCAGTAAACATACAACATAGATGGATTATTTGATTTTTAGAAAATATTAATTATATAAGAATTGGTGGTATCTTTTAATCCCAAAACATATTTCAATTTTTTAAACAAAGCTTCTGAACCCTGTATAGACTTCCAGCAGGACAACAGTGAACACACAATCAAAGCTACAATGCAGTGGTCCAGATTAAGGTGCACTGGTGTGTTAGAATGGCCAAGTCAGACCCAAAAACAGTTGCTGAGGTCACAAAGATTCAGTCTCTAGATGTGTAAAGCTGGAGGTGACATACAAGGGAAAATCCTACAGCTGTGATTTTATTAATGTTGATTTTCTAAAGTACTTGCTTGGGGTGGATTAAGTCAAATGCTTGCTACCATTTACAGAATTTAAAGAAAATATTTAGAAAACAATTGCATGAGATGTTGCTTTGTCATACAAAATAACAAGAAAATACAAAGAACGTTGAAGTTGCATTTTAGCAAATTGTGAATAAGGTTGTGGTCATGAATACTCATTCAGAACTGGTAAAACGCTCCTGTGGAAAAAGTCCTGCCGTCTTGCATGCCAACAGCAGGGAAGTCATTTATTCTCACTCTCTTACAAACTCCTCTTAAATTGTTTCATATCTTAATTTTACTTGTCTTGCCAATAGCATTGCGTTTAGAATAATAATAAAAAAAGCTGCATTCCCAGGTAGCGTTTTAGATGTTTGATTAATTTTCTTAAGATGCTTCACATAGATGAAGATACTCCTGGCATAAATATATTTGGAAATCTGTATAATATGGAATAAAACAAATGGAAGTTGCATAAAACTTATCTGAGAATAGAGAAAAATAGCAAAGGTTTTTGCAGAGGAATAGCACCATATACTGTAAATAACAAAAATATTAAACTAAATCAAATGCTATTTACATGTGCTGCGATCTTTGTACAATTTGCAATGGAAAGTGTCAGTGGGGCAGCCAGGCCTGTTTAATGATTCCAGCTGCAGACAGGAAGAAAATGTTTTTGTGGTTGTGGATGTTGGTCCTGATGGACCACAGCCTCCTTCCATAGGAAACGTCTGAAACAGTTGGTATCAAGGGTGAGGGGGGTCAGTTGCAATCTTTCCTGTTGCATCAGGGTTCTGGAGGTGAAGAGAAGGAAGATTCACACAGGCAGGGATGAGGTCAGTGAGGGATGTGTAATTTGCAAACTTCAGGAGTTTGATGGACTGGTGACTGGAGTTATAGATTTTAGGTGTACAGGGAGGTAAGCAGAGGGGAAAGGACACAGGCTACTGGAATTAGAGACTTTTTGTTTTTCTGCTTCACCTGCAGCTTTTTGTCTGTTTTGAAGTCTGTGATCCACTAGCAGGTGGGGTCACGCTGGAAGACAGAGGTTCAAAGGTTTAAAGCTGTCAGGGTAGAGACAATGAGATTCACCCTTTAATCATTAAAATCATTTTCTTTTATCTGTGTTCCTCAGAAGAGGCGGTGAACGAGGTAAAGCGGCAAGCCATGTCGGAGCTGCAGAAGGCAGTGTCAGACGCAGAGAGGAAAGCTCACGAGATGATTTCTGCAGAGCGGTCCAAAATGGAGAGGGCGCTCGCTGAAGCGAAGAGACAAGCTTCTGAAGACGCGCTAACGGTCATCAACCAGCAGGAAGACTCCAGCGAGGTAAGCATAAATCACCTTTATCTAATAGTAAAGAAACACTGAGAATAAAGCAAACAGATGACAGCTTGATCACTAAAATATATTCTACATGTTTGCTTCTATTTTTATTCTTTGTGTTTCCTATCTTACAGTGGGTTCCTGGCCCTAAGCTTTGGAAAACATGTCCTTCTTAAACCCCCATTCTTATTATATACTCATCAGATCAATATCAAAGTTTACTTTGTTCTCAACAGATAACAATTCTCTTCTATAATAAAAAGAAAAAAAAACATTTAATGGAAGAGTTGTTGCTCAGTTGTTCCAAGCCTAAATGTAAAGCTGTTTAGCCTGAATATTATACAAAATAGATTCTTTAGCTGGTATGAGTTTACCATCTAAAATTCTGGTTACATTGAGCTTAAAATTCATTAAAGGTTGTAATTCTTTCAGGAATAAAAGCCATATGACTCAGAATGCCTGGTTCAGAACTTCAGGAAGCATTTGACCACCACCAGCTAACAGCATATCAGCTGGCAATGGATCAAAATCCCCTAGCACCATAGGAAGTGTACATTTAATCTATCTCCAGCAGTCAATGGGCGAGAGGCAGGGTGCACCCTGGCCAGGTCACCAGTCCATCGCAGGGCAACACAGAGACACACAGGACAAACAACCATTCACACACACACTCACACCTAAGGACAATTAAGAGAAGCCACTTAACCTAACAGTCATGTTTTTGGACTGTGGGAGGAAGCCAGAGTACCCAGAGAGAACCCACACATGCTCAGGGAGAACATGCAAACTCCATGAAGAAAGACCCTGGGCCGGGAATCGAACCCAGAACCCTCTTCCTGTAAGCCAGCAGTGCTACCCACTGTGGCACTTTAAAGATATTCTTATATGTGTATGAAAGAGCGTGACGTGTCTAATACAAAAGAGAAAACTCATATTAAATGTCTTACCAATGTAGTCTTACATTATACAAACATTCGTCAAGGATCATCAATCACACTAAAACTTAAAAATGTGGTCAAATATTCAAGCACAGAAATTGGAACAGTCAAAATGTATAAAACATAAAAATCTTCAAAGGTTTGCTCATCTGGTGTTATTTCTCTCAGTTAGTTCAATTCAGATCTTCACAAATGAAGACGTTTAGATTGACTAAACTGATTAAATGTTGGATTAAAGATAAAGAAGATTAATTAATAAATGGTCTGCTTGAGTGTGAAACGAATTAATGTTTTATTTTTTTTTAAAATGCGTTTTAAAATATTTAGGTAAAGCAACTTATCATTTGTCCTCCATTAATATTTTGTAGAAAATGTGATAGAAAAATGTGTCTTACTTTAAACAATTAAATCATAATAATTGGTATTTATCTTGGTGTGTCTTGGTTTGAGTTATAAGCCTGTGCGTATAACTCAAACCCCCCCCCCCACCATTGTTAAGGAGGGGCATGTTGCAGTCCCCTGATCCCGTCTTTCATCTCTGTCTCTCCAGAGCTGCTGGAACTGTGGCAGGAAAGCCAGCGAGACGTGCAGCGGCTGCAACACGGCTCGCTACTGCGGCTCCTTCTGCCAACACAAAGACTGGGAGAAGCACCACCACGTCTGTGGTCAGGGGCTGCAGGGGCTGCCAGGGGGCAGCAGCGTTCCCTTGGGCACCCCTTCCTCCACCTCCTCTGTGTCCTCCACTGCGCCCCCAACCCACTCAGAGAGCTCTCCTCCGGGACCCCTTTCCCTGGTGGGGCAGAGCAGTATTGCAGGAGTTGCTGGCAGCGGGAGCATCTCTGCCAGCCCCAAAGAGAGCAGTTCAAGCAGTGCCTCTCGCTCCACGACCCCAGCGACCCCTGCCCTACTGGATGCCACCTCTCGCTGACGTCCGGGGCTCTCTCCCTGCCTGTGCATACTGAAATGACAGTGCCCACACTCCACACAAAACCAAACTGAGGAATCTGCATTCTACATGGCTCCCTTTCCTCCACTTCTTCATAACCCTCTCCTTGCAAGCTCTGTGATAACTTCTTCAACAACCAGTAGCTTTTCACAGCGTGCATAACGTTTAACCTCCCCCACAGACACTAAGACTCCAACCAGAGGTTCAACATGGTGCAAAACGTGCATCTTGCCGTGTCTGCTACAATATAAGTTTTGTTTGTCGAGAATGAAAAAGGGTTGCCCTCAGTAATGTAGGTATGGGAAGGTTAGGGGCTTGACTAGGCAGCATTGATGAGGGATAACTAGTACTTGATAGGATTTCCCCTTTAATTTAGCACCAGGGAAGGCACAGGAACCAGCCCTGAAATGAGCACTAAAAGTGGCACCTCTGGAGTTTGAAAATGAAGAGACCAGAAGCATAACCTCATTCTGAAACCTAGGTGGAAAGGGATTAAAACTGTAATGCGATGTATTCCTCAGAAACACAACTTAGTATTTATTAAAGGTTTTTTCTGGCTTTAAGGAAAACAAAGATTATTCCAAATGTTCTGAATAAAGAATAATAGCGCTGATGATGACGATGATATAAAAATAAATTAATTTTTAACTGGTAACTACCTTGCTAGCAAGCCAAGAATATCTACACCAGACTCACCTCTCTGCACCATTACGAACCCAAATAAATTCAAAGATGAAGCAAATAACATGATCCAAACCTTTTTACTACACTGCCAAAGTAAAAAACAAAACAAAAACGTGATACATAAAAGCACTCATCTTATAACCAAACACAAAACAACATCACCTCCTGAGCAGAAAAGCCAGCCCTGAGAGGACCAGGCATCGAGGAGCTGCATCAACTAAACTGTGACCTGCTTTGATCGACAGCTGCCTCTACAGTTTGGATGAACCTACAACATTTCCTCAGTGATGGCCCAGACTAGTGAATATTGACAATGCTGTGAACTTGAAATTGATGGAAAACCTGCCACAGTGTGGCTATTTTCTGAGGACATGATGAGGGGGGGAAAAAAGGAAAAACCTCAAAGGAAGCAGAAATGGACGCAAGGCATTGGAGCTGCCAAAAACACAAGCTTGGAGACTGCATTGAAAATAATGGGAATGTATAAGGAGATGGCTCAAAAGTAGATTGTTGCTCTGTTTTTGTTTTGTTTTGTTTTGTTTTTTTAACACAAGCTTACCAGGAGGAGGTACGTTGAGGAATTGCCATCACCTTTATATTCACTCCATCCTTTTCCAAAGCATGACTAAGCAGTTCAGAAGAGCCAACAGGGCGGAATAAACTTTATCCTCCTTTCTTTCTACCTCCCCTCATCCCACAACTCCCTTCCTTGCTCGTATCCACATTAGTTGACTCGTATTTAACCCCCCAAAATACGGGGTTTGCTTTGGACAGACCTCCACAGCACTCACACAGGGAGGTTTGAACCTGCTTGTAGATATTCCTCTTCTCTTGTAATTTTTTCATAAATGTCTTCTGATTGCTGATGCCACATGTGCTGCCCTTGTGTATACTACCCCCTCCCAAAAAAAGGACTTTGTTTTGGGTTATTTACCTTTCATTTTCATCAAAGTTTAGGTTGATCAGTCAAAACAGAGGCTATGATGCTTGTTTATGAAAGGAATTGCCCCACATTGTACTTATTGTTTGAATTGTTGTATCTATATTAATGAGATGAAACCCCTCTTGTAGAATATTTTGTATTGCTCGCATTGTAAGACAGTGAGAGGACGGAGGTGCAATATGAAGAGAATTCAGCTACTGAATGGAACCTCAGCAACTGCCCATAGGGTGTCATATAATATAGATACATATAGATATATTTAAAGCAACATCAGTAACTTAATGTGAATGTACATAGTATTTAAAAAGGTCCAAAAATGTGTTTGCCAAATAACAAAAACCTTTAAAGTTCAGAACGTGACTTTTTTTTTCTCACAGTACATTTGTTTTTCACTCATACAAGCTGAATTTTCAATTCAAGTGTCATGAAGCTGTTGACGACAGATGTAGCTCCAGGCCACTTAACGTTATGTGTTTTGATCTGCCATTGGTAGATCATCCTGATATAGTCAGTTGTAAAAGGGTTAAAACATATTGGATCCATTTAAAATCTGTCAGATTAAGGAGTTCTGTCCCTTTGACCAACTTTGGTGACCGTAATGGTTCTCTGTCTTGGTCCTGATCAATCTGTGTATGTGATTTCTGATCGTTCTTTACCTCCCCTGTTATACAAGACAAGCCATTACTGTAGGGTAAAGTGATAAACCAGTGTTAAGCTCACATCAAAAGTAATTTTCTGTCTTTTAGACTCGACCATGTTTTGCATAAAGATGTGATTTAAGAATAAGCTGTAGGTGTTGAGCAGGCTTTTTGATTCCAGTAGGGAAATAAACAGACTGAATGCCTTTTATATAGATTTTTGTTAGCCCTACATCACTGGCCCTATTTACACTTTGACCAAACTTGGAAAAAATATTTTTGGACTATTTGGGATGACTTAAAATTCAAATAAGCTACAACAAAAAAAAGGTCATGCTTGTTTTTTTTGGTTTGTTTTGGTTTTATTTATGTTATTTTGTTGGGCTTAGTCTTTCCTTTGGAACATCTTTATTCTCCCCTAATGTCTAATAGTCTCTCAGATCCATCACATGCCCCCCTGTCCCTGCTGAAACGAGCTACCTCCTGTGAGCATACAGCAAACCACCAGGAGAAGCTGACCTGGTCTTTCAAAAAAAAAAAAAACACAAAAAAACATAGATTGCTTCAAAACAGACATGGGCACACAATCGCAGTTATAGGTTATCAAATGAATCCCCACTGAAAGGAGCTGTCATTACTACTGATGTGGACTAAAACATCTATTTTCACCAGACTGCAACTTTATAGTTAAAAAAACAGCTTTTGTTAAGAGTTATTAATAGACACACATTCAGTTATTCCTGCTTTTTATTAAAACAACCACAGATTCATTGATGATAATTCATTTAATGTCTGAAACCAATAAAAGCACAAACCAAAGTACTAGTTTGCCATTGTAGACTGCAACATGGCAAGTAATGACAGATGGCAACCAGTCAACCAAAGTATGTCTGAAAAATACACACTAGGACAGTGCAGGAGAGCCTGCTGGACAAACAAACAGGCTGAGTTTCAGATGTGAATTCATCCTCAAGCAATCAAAGAGCTTGTTGACTACATATTGAGTAACGCTCCTCTATAAACAACAGAAGCGTCTCCTTTGGAAAAAGCCAACTGTGTGTACTTATAGCTATAAAGCCTTCCAGAGTTTAAGTGAATGTGTGGTACTTGTGTGTCTGTCTGCGGATTGTGGTGTGCCTATCTTTTAGTAAAAAAGAAAGAAAGAACAAAACCAAACAGCAACAACAACAACAAAAAAATCTTTATGTCGTTCTGCAAACTACTTGAAAACTTCAGAGCTTTAATGAAACCCAGACAAACAATAGTGGTGCATTGATTAAAAAAAAGAAAGAAGCAGTTTGGTGCAGGTATATCTATATAAACATCCACATCATAACACAATAGGGTGACAGTTCCATTCAGGTCTTGAAGTGCTTTGTGTGATCCTCATTGTCTGCGAGTTAGACCTCAGATAAACAAAGCCAAACCCAATAGACAGCATACAAATTACCAAAATACAACCAAAAAGCTGCAACTTTTTTTTAAGTTACATTTTTTTGTATGAAAGAAACCTAGATCCTCACCCCCTCCTTACGTCATCATACTGCAAGTTAGAAAAAATGAAACCTTTTCACTGTTTTTTTTTTTTTCTGTCAAGGTATTTTAGTTGCTAGATGGATCCTAGACCTCCTATTCAAGGGTCTGCTAATTAATTCCATCAGCAACATTTTTTATATATGGGCAAAAGACATGTCCACAGATGTGAGCTGGGTTGGTGTTTGTCTCAGCCTGTAAGACAACTCAAAAAGTCTGCCTATGTGATGATGACACGACCTTCCTGTGAAACAAGTCCAGAAAGCTGAAGTGGCAAACGGTGGACGCAGCACTTGTTTTCCGATAAGCCATGGCTCCGAATGATCTCATTTTTAAACTTCACATAAACTGAAAACAAGTTTATGCTTTTGTATGTGTAGGGACGCCTTCTATACTGTATTGTGCAATACACTGATACAGAAAAAAAAAAGACATGTTTCTGTGGGAAAGGCTGGCGCTTTCAAGATCTTTCCTACTATGTTTCATTTCTCTCTTCTGACAGTCCTGTTGCCATTCTTACAGTAGATGAAGTAAACTGTGCCAGAGGAATTAAATTCTGATTTGTATTTATTTCTTGCATGCTTCTCTCCCTGTTGCTAATACCGCTTTTTAACTGTTCGCTCTGTTGGATGTGTGAAGCTGTAAAACATTCTAATTCAGGTTATTGTCTGTGTTGAACAATGTAACTGTGTAATTAAAACATGAAATGACATATCCATCACACTCCTTCCTTTTCTTTATCTTAATCAAAGATGTATTTCTAAAACAGATTCCTTGGGGGAAGAAAATTGTTCTTTGTTATTCAGCTCTATTATTAGTGGGGTAGGGTTATATAGATCAATGCACTTCCATGTCTGTAGTTTTAAGATACCAATAGATCCCAACACATTTGAGTTCAATATGAGCTTAAGTGTTTGTTCTTTTAAATATATATGAATATATAAAGAGAGAGAGACAGAAACACAGATAGATATATGTCAAATCTGAAAAGTGCCATTCTTTTAATGACTTGCTCAATATCAACTCTGCAAGAACAGAGAGATATCCTCTTTACAATAATAATTTGAGACTTTTTATCAGGCTTATTTCTATTTGTAAAATAATCGACCTTAAATGGGTAGATATTTTTCCCACTAATTTCTACCTATTTTTTCTATTTTCAGAATGACCTGCTTTAGGGCTCTGTCACTTTTATGCAGATTATTGTTTTTGCACATATATTTCCACACACCAGCAAAACATTTATGTTTTGCACAAAAATTCCACTGGATGTATTTTTTAGCGCCAAAATGGAGGTACAAAGTTATACAAAAAATGCATTTTCTGAAGACAACCCTTAAGCCTGTAAGGTAAGTAGCAGTTCTATTATAACCCAACAAAAAAAATAATATTTTAAAATATATATAATTACATTTCTACCCCTTGCACATGTTGCCCTGCATTCCATTTTGCTAGAACTCACACAGCTTGCATCATGATGCACGGTTGTAACTTGGGAAACAAATTAAGATTGTTTCTGCTTAGAAATCCTCCAGTGTGGTTGATTTAAAATAAAAAAGTAAAGAACAATCATTAGGGTTTAGGTAGCAAAAACCTTTTCACATATGTTAAGATTGGTTGGGATGGCTTTCTCCCTTACTAAATGAGGCCCTTACAATGAAAAATAAACTGTTAACTATATTGAATTATCGAAAAAGTCATATCACCGCAAAATTGTTGTGAAAATAATGATATTGAATTACTGTCCACCTTTAATTTCATGCATTCAAATACAAATAAAAGGACCATGTTCACTAGTAGAGTTTGTAGGGTATTATGTATGACACCAGGTAATCATGCTAATAAATAGTCTATGAAGAAAACTTTAGTTACATTTTATGTGTAGCTGCTTAGCCAGGTCTTTCTCAGTCAGAATCCAATTTTTAGGAGCTATTCTTATTTACTTTTAATTAGAACCTGTATCATAACATTACATCAGTGTGTCTTATATTCACACATTAGCCACAATAATTAAGTAGGGAAAAATGCTAATATTTTTTTTAAACTTAAGACAAATGTCCATCCTTTTCTCCCAAAAAATACAAAATTTACCATTAAGACTAACATTTGTCTGAATTGTTTTCATGGTTTAATTTAGCAACTAATAGTATAATTGATGGCAGTGGAACCAAGCAAAATCAGTATTTTCCCAATGGAGGTGAAAATAAAGAGGAAACGTCCAAGATCAAGTTTGAAAAATCACGAAGAATATCCCATGCCAAGAGGGACACAAAAGAAACATGAAGATTGGTGTTCAGTGGAATCATGAGAAAGTACTGCCAGCACATGGCAATGATATCCAATAATCTTTATGCCAGTGAATTACATCAGTGCAAAAACTATTTTCAGGCTCAAGAAAGACTAGACAAACACTATCAAGACAAACATTGGCTCATATTGCTCTATTTAACATCAATAAGAAAGTTTTGTCTGCTTCTTAGACATATTATGTAAATAGGTCCCTTTGATTGGCCAGACAGACGGACTTATGCCTTGAGTCAGTCAGGCTACCCTTTAATGCCAGTGTTGAAAGAAAGATGATAAAAACATTAGTGATGGGGTTATTTTTTTAATTAATGGAGTAATCTCACTTTTTTGTTTTCTCAGAATGTTAAAGCAGTTACTTTGTTTGCAATCTAACATGGTGGGTTAGTACAATTTGATAATTTAAAGCGAATTTTCGTAAGCACACCTTGAGGCGGAGAGAGGGAGCTTCCAGTGCAGAGATGGAGCAGGAGCCAAAGGCATAAATGACGCTGATTGGCTGCTGAGATGTAATATAGGTAGGTGTTCAGCATGCAATGATTGATCGCATAAACTGAAAAGAGAGATGTAGATTCAATGATGGTGTTCCTAAAATAGAAGCGTTTGGTAAAATCAAAGGCTAAAGGTTCCTGTGATTTGCTTATTATGTTCAGGAACAAGAACCTAATACACCTCAGTAGCAAACAGCTCTAATCTAATAAATTATTTTACACTGTCTCAACACTGACACACACCTGGCTGCCTTAGCTGTTACTCTTTAGTTTTTTACACTTACATGCTGGAAGAAAGTCTTCCTTGTCCTTGATCATAAAGCACTTAATTTTTGTCAAATTGCTGGGAAAGTATTGACCTAATGGTACCTCTTAGCAGCTTTTAGCCTGTTAAATTAGAGATATTTTTCCCATGGGTGTTGCTGAGAATACTACTCCAAGCATTTCTTCAAGGGTGGACTATAGCAAGTCTTTGCTATCGGAAGTCCACAAACTGCAGTTAAAAGCTTTCAGCTGATCAAAAATACTGCAGTCAGAGTTCTGATAGAAATTAGAAAGAATCTGCAGGTTTACCTGTGGTTCCTAGAATTTCTAAGTTTTTTTTAGATTGATTGATTACTTATTTTAGTGTCAAGAACCTTAACTGGTGGCCAGCCCTCATAAGCTTATTAGAGAGAGCTAAACGTAGATAAGCAAACAGATCTTTTAGTTATCAGGCTCCTCTCCTGTGGAACCAACTACCAGTGTTAGTCCGTTAGGCAGACACCCCGTCTACTTCTAAGACTGAGCTTAAAAGGTGCCGTTTTCATAAGGCTTATAGTTAGAGTGGCTCAGGTTATACTGAGCATTATCTGTAGTTATGCTGCTATATGCTTAGACTGCTGGAGGACATAGGAACCACACCTCATCATTCTGCTTCATTCCATCTCTATTCTCCCATTTTGCAGTATATATTTGTTCAACCTCTAACTTAATGCTCTCTCTGATTTTCCTTGTCATGGTAGCTTCATCTGGCCTGGCCCTGTTAGGCAGAGAGCCTGTATCCGTGCCCCACTTTTAATTTCTCAATGTGAGCCTATTAGTGGCAATTTTCAATCATATGAGCACAGAGAGAGGTGAATGACCAGTGAATAACACATAATTAATAATAATTATGTGTGTAAATGACCCACCCACTTTCTAGTTTTCATCTCTCCTAAGTACCTATTCAGTTCTGAAGACATATACCTACATAATTCAAAAACACAAAAAATTACTAACAGAAAATAAATGAAGAACAAAAAAAAACTAGCACATTCAATGGACGTTATTGCTTTGATATGATGGTTTTCTGAACGTACAAAAAAATTGAAATATAAATGCATGTTTTCATTGTTGCCGTTCTTGATCAGTTTGTTTCTCTAAATATTAGCTGTTAGATTTTGGCATAATCACAGGAAGAAAACAAGTCAACAATAACAATAAATATTGAGTATAACGTGTAAAGATGAAGATGCCCCCTTTGTATTCCTACCTGCACCCATATATATTTAAGTCTACAACCGGCCCTGGTTATAAATGATAGAGCCAGGTCTGTTTTGTTAGGTTTAGTTCTGTTTCTCTCAAAGACATAGTCTCAGCTTTTACTGTGACTTACTGCATGTGCTCTCTTTCATCCTTTCGACATGAAACTCAGAGCTTGTCTATCAAATAATTTCTTTCCTAGACAGAGCCACCTCTGGAGCTAGTTTATCATTACCTTGTCTAACATAGACACTATCTGTAGATTAGTGCTTCTATGTTTAAATGAAATGTGTTGTGAATTTGTGCTAAATAAATAGATTGTGTCCAATTGAATTTTAAAGTTTTAAAAAATCCATCCATCCATCCATCCATCCATCCATCTTCTGTGACAATTATCCCAAGCGAGGTTGCGAGGGGTGCTGGTGCCTATCTCCAGCTGTCTACGTACGAGAGGCTTTAAAACATACAGTTTTTTTGTATTTTAGTACAAACTTTAAAATCACATCTGCATAGAAATATTACAATTAAGTGTCTTAGCTCACTAGTCCCACCACAAATTGCAAAATGGTGTAGATTATTATAAATTTGACCAGATATGCAGTCCTCTTTATTCATTAATTATTTAATTTTATTAATATATCTAATATTAATTTACTAACATCTACTTTTGATAATTAAGTCCCAGCTGTATTTAAACTTCAAATAACATTTGGAATATTTTGATTAAGCAGTAACTGAGTTACTTATTTAGTTACTTTTTGGGGAAAGTAAACTGTATCCAAAATTAGCTAATTTTTATTTAGTTGACTGTTTTTAAATCCCTTGTCAAAACCCAGCTTTTCCCTTTTGCTTTTAACACCTATTAAGATAGTGGGCTTTATTTTATTTTCTATCTTTTTTACCTTTTTTTATCCTTTATTCCTTTTATCTTTCACCAAAGTTTATTGATTTGATTGCGTAAATGTTATTTTTAGTCATGTTTAAGCCGTTTTTTTTTTTTTTTTTAATCTCTGCTGTTAATGTTTTGTTTTATTTATTTGTTTATTTAATTGTTTTTTCTGTACATCACTTTGGTCAGCTGTGGTTGTTCTTAAGTGTTAAACAAACCAAACTGGATTGGATTGGATGAATTGTTCTTGACTATTCATCAGCTTATGACAAGTACTCGGGAAAAAAAAATGAAATTGGCAATTGGACTTAAACATCAACTATGATGTCAACAGCTGGAGCAGATTACTAAACTCATCTCAAAAAATATTAATATCAACAAAACACAGACAAATTCAATTTAATATTTTTCACCACATATATTATACCGCATATGCCAGTATCACTTACAAATGCCAGAGGTGTAAGACGTCTTTAGGGGATCTTCTTCATATGTTTTGGAATTTTGTACACTTGTAAACCTACTGG